GTTACACCATGTACAGTACGTGTGTATAAGTTGGTGTGGATTAGTAGTAAATAAACAAGAGTAACACTTAAGTTGTACCAGTCACCCATGGTATGACCCCAAGTGACGTCACACAAGTCAGGAGGAAATTTACGTGTTTATATAGTGAAGATAGTTTATATTATTAAGAGAATGTATATTAAGGTGATATATATAACTTACGGTCACAGCGTTAATGACTTTTTAAATATTCTGGTATATTCTGGTATAATGTGGTATAGTAATCACTTATAAAATGCAAAGATTATCTCTCTCTCTCTCTCTCTCTCTCTCTCTCTCACCTCTGCCGGGTCATGTCAGGTAAAAGCTTTATCATATAATTACTACCGCCATTTATGAACAGGTCAATGCACTTAGAGCCAGATATCTCCCCGATTATCTCTCTCTCTCGCTCCATCTCTCACTCCTCTCCCCCCCTCTCTCAAGCACCATCCTCTCCCCCCTCTCTCAAGCACCATCCTCTCAAAATTTATCTCTCAACCGTGACCACAAAACTTGAGAGAGAGAGAGAGAGAGAGAGAGAGAGAGAGAGAGATTACCTGTCCAAAATATAAATGAGCTTTATAATGAGCCCGAGACACAGGTGGGCCAGGTGTCATGTTGGGCTCCCACGACCAGGTAATAATAATGACTCCCACGTTACCTGCCAGGGAGGCGTGTGTGGGAGGTGACGCCTGTGGGGGAGGGAGATGTGTAAACTGCTGTGTGTGTTACCATCGTCACTACCATACCAACACACACACAATAGGTCATTAAACAGTTCACTTCTAGACCACTTCAAGGGATCATAATCTTGGGATTACTGGACGGCTGTGCTGAGAGAGAGAGAGAGAGAGAGAGAGAGAGAGAGAGAGAGAGGACAATATACTGTACTTAATAAATCCTTGGTGGTACTGAAGCTGCCTTGTGTTTATTGATTCTCGACCCAGGCTAAAGTTGACCACATGTAGGTTACTTTAGGTTAGGTTATGTTAGGTTAGGTTACGTTAGGTTGGTCTGTCTGTCTGTCTGTCTGTCTGTCTGTCTGTCTGTCTGTCAATGAGCCAACACCGAGGAAGACGGCGACCAATCACAGCCCGAGTTTGACCTAAAATTCCGAGTGGCCAATCATCATGAAGGACGAGGGTCATGACCCAAAATGTGAGAGTGTGGGAGAGTGTGTGGGAGAGGAACCGCGGAGAGAGAGTGTGTGGGTGAGTAGAGTGTGGGAGAGTAGAGTGTGTGGGTGAGTAGAGTGTGGGAGAGTAGAGTGTGTGGGAGAGTAGAGTGTGTGGGAGAGGAACCGCGGAGAGAGAGTGTGTGGGTGAGTAGAGTGTGGGGAGAGTAGAGTGTGTGGGAGAGTAGAGTGTGTGGGAGAGTAGAGTGTGTGGGAGAGTAGTGTTTGGAAGAGTGTATGGGGAGAGTGTGTGGGAGAGTAGTGTTTGGAGGAGTGTATGGGGAGAGTGTGTGAGGAAGGAGAGAGTGTGTGTGGGAGGAGAGAGTGTGGGAGAGTAAAGGAGTCATTAACACACTCTCCCAGGGTAATGTCGCTGGTTGGTCGCACTCAATCGCTTCAGTAACCAAACAGAATGCAGTTTATTTTGAGTGACTTATAATTGTTTCCGTGAGTGGATACTGCGGTGAGAGGGAGGGTGAGAGGTGGGTGAGGAGGGAGGCGGGTGAGAGGTGGGTGAGAGGAGGGCCGGGTGAGAGGAGGTGAGTGGGAGGTGGGTGAGAGGAGGGTGGGAGGCAGGTGAGAGGTGGGTGAGGAGGGCAGGTGAGAGGTGGGTGAGAGGAGGGCGGGTGAGAGGGCAGGTGAGAGGGTGGGTGAGAGGAGGGCAGGTGAGAGGTGGGTGAGAGAGGAGGGCAGATTGAGAGGGTGGGTGTGAGTGAGATGGAGGTGGAGAGGGATGGCGGGAGGCTGAAAAGGGTGGCAGAGAGAGGGAGGGAGGAAGGGAGGGAGAGAAAAGTTTGAGAGGGAGTGAAGAAGGGAGGGAGGAACGGAAGAGGAGTGGGAGAGGTATGTCGAGAGGGATGGAGGGAGAGAGTGAGGGTGGGTGGGAGTGGAGGAAAGGAGAGGGTGGGGGTGATAGAGAAGGGGAAGGCACTGTCTCTGTTTCTTTCTCCCTCACTTCCCCCTTCTCTTCTCCCTCACTTCCCCCTTCTCTTCTCCCTCACTTCCCCCCCTCTTCGCCCGAGTTGGCGGAGGTGGGCAACAGGTGAGGGAGAGAGAGTTACCCGGTGCTTCAATATATTAAATAAGATGAAAGTGATCGTCTCTCTTGAAGAAAACGAGAGCCCACCTGAAGCACCCCTTTGTCTACCCCCTCGTGTCTCTCTATATCTCTCTCTGTCTCTCGCCGTATGAAGTCCCCTTGTGGTACTGTTCTCTCTACCCCTAGTATCTCTTTCTACGCCCCTCCCTCCCTCTTTCTCTCCTTCCTCCATTCTCTCCCTCCCTCTTTCTCTCCTTCCTCCATTCTCTCCCTCCCTCTTTCTCTCCTTCCCTCATTCTCTCCCTCCCTCTTTCTCTCCTTCCCTCCTTCTCTCCTTCCCTCCTTCTCTCCCTCATTCCCTCCCTCCCTCCATGTTTCACCATCACGGACCAACAGACAGAAATCATAGAAAAGTTATGAGTGAACAGCACTATGTCCTTTTATTTTACTTTCTCTTATGTCACGCCTACTAATTAGTCAAACTGGACACCTGAGTGAAAGTGAAGGTGTAGGAGTGAAAGTGGAGGCGTATGAGTGAAAGTGGAGGCGTAGGAGTGAAAATGGAGGCGTAGGAGTGAAAGTGGAGGTGTAGGAGTGAAAGTGGAGGTGTAGGAGTGAAAGTGGAGGCGTAGGAGTAAAAGTGGAGGCGTAGGAGTAAAAGTGGAGGCGTAGGAGTAAAAGTGGAGGCGTAGGAGTGAAATGAAGGATTATCTTGTAAATAATCGTGTTATCTTCATCTAAATTTATGATTTGTGAAGATAACTAAAGGTTTTATCTTAATTTATTATCGGTTTATAATTATATTTTTACAATAAACGTATTTAAAACGACAATGGAAATTAATGTTATTAGTTTTTGTGTTAATCATCGTAGTTTTATTATAGGTATTATAATTTTGGTGGTTACTTGTAATTGTTATTTATGTCAATATTGTACTGTACATGTGATTAATTCCCAATAAACAAATAATAATAAAAATATATATATAAATGTAATAATACTAAAGTTAGTAATAATATTTTTTCGTTTTCTTTATAAATGTTGTTATAGAAAATTTAAAATTTAAGGGCTAACCAAAGCATATTCTCTCTAGCTGTTGGGTCGAACAGGTCCTCTGTTTCAGCTATAAAGTTATAAACATTCCCTATTTTTATATCCATATATCTTTCTCGTTTCAGAAGGAGGTACAGGCGAATGTGGTGTAACTCGCATAACTCTCACCAATGTGTGTGTCAAGGGTTAGAGCCTCGGCACCGGACACACGTGAAAAGGGTGTTATCCAGTGTGACCTTCACTACCAAACACCACAGGTTTCCTGGTCCCCGGTTTCCTCCTGTACTAACACTGGATAAACCGCCCAAACGGCGAGTAAGCTGATAAGTGGCGAATATGATAACAAAGTATGTATAATAATAATAATTTCACTTAATTTCATGTACCCGCCTAAATTATTACTAATATATTTTTCTATAACGGTGCTACTAACATTTGAAGAAGGTTTTAGGGTTAACATTACTGATATTGAATTTATATTCTTTTTCTTATTTAATTAGAAATTTGTTATTAATTATTATACACCACTTCCTTCGCCTACTCTAAGTCTTTATTTATGAACACGTAAACACCCTAAGGCGTTTTGTTTATGAATTTATTGATAATAACTGGACTATAACAGTATCTTTATTATTAAGATCACAAAAGATCAACTTGATGTAAATAGCCAAGATATTAATAATAATAATTACTAGCAATATTAAACCAAACTAGCACCATTAAATAGCATGTTGATGATGGGGGCCTTAACACGCCCCGTTTAAACCTTATTTAACTTAACCTGACTTAACTTGAACTACTCTAAGGTATAAGATATTGGAGAAACATATATCATGCACTATAATGGATTATGATATAAGAATCTGTGATAAAAGTATCGGAACTGTAATATATGTTATGATATAGAGAAAATATTATAAGACATCGAGGAAATATAATAATATATCGTGAAATATAACGATAAATAAAGTTATATAACATGTGTTAGTAAATTAGCATATATAATGGTCACAACATAGTGAAAGTCAATAATATAATTCATAGCTATATAATGTTACATATGCATTATATATTTTATAATATATCTAATGACCGTCTGTATGACACATACTATAGAAAAAGTTTTATACCCAAATACATACAAAAAATATAGCGATTACAGTCATACATGAGAAGGTAACCAATGGGTATTTATCGAATATATTATGTTACCTATATTGAAATAATATAGGTGATAACCCTTAAAGATAAGGTGAGTATTATTATTAGACCTCTTAATGATGACAAATATAATGGAGTCTTATAAGCTGGTATAATAATAATAATAATTCAATATATATTAACGAATGATATACTACTACTTACTACTACTACTACTACTGCTTACGACTACTACTACTACTTACTACTACTACTATTTTTTTTAACGTGGCCTCCAGCCTCCCCCAATAGCCACACCTTCGCTGCCATTTTATTACCTTAATATTAAATATCCTAACTACTACTACTACAATAATATAGGAGAATGATATAGGAAAGTTATATATCATGACTTAGTATAGTAGACCATAGACAACGCCAGGCAGACGATCGACCGGTTACTGCCCACCCTGGCGCTCCTATAAAATATTTAATGATTATATATAATCATATATCGAATTCATACATGTTTTAGCCTTAAAGATAAGAGGGTGAGTATCACTGACACCAATATTTATAATGACAAATATAATATAATGTTTGTTACAAGAATAATTATTAAGAACAAAAGTGACAATTATAGGGAACAAATTATTATAAATTATATACGAGACTAATCCCAAGAGGTTAGATATGTAGTGATGAAAGAAGGTGTGCGGCGTCACTTGATCCATCATCGTAAAGTGACGTCTATGAATGAAGTCATCGGTGTGTGACTTCCTTTAGAGAAATGGAAGAATAACTTCGGTAGAACCCGTGAGGCCACCTGGTGGCCTCTGGCGGCGACCTCCAGGTCATACTGGTGACGACCTCCAGGTCATACTGGTGACGACCTCCAGGTCATACTGGTGACGACCTCCAGGTCATACTGGTGACGACTTCCAGGTCATACTGGTGGCGACCTCCAGGTCATACTGGTGGCGACCTCCAGGTCATACTGGTGACGACCTTCAGGTCATACTGGTGACGACCTCCAGGTCATACTGGTGACGACCTCCAGGTCATACTGGTGACGACCTCCAGGTCATACTGGTGACGACCTCCAGGTCATACTGGTGACTGCATTATGCCTGGTGAAATAAAGACACATTAACCAACAGGAGACAAGAACACCCTGACACAGAGCAGCGGCTGGTGCTGGTGGCAATTATAAACCACAATAAAAGAAGGTGGGAGGGTGAGGGGAAAGGAATGACAGGGATGGATGAATGAAATTCTGTAAAAAACTTACCTCAGTCTTCAGGTCAGGTCACCAAGCCAGGGAGCATCTTGGGCCCTCGTCTACCCACCGCAAGGCTTGCCCAGATACTGACAGCTGCACCCGACCCTTAAGCCGGCCGAGTGTTATCATGATACAGAATCCAGCAATTTGATTGGCTTAGAATACTGCGCATCTGGCCTTTTCAACAGCCACGTGGATGTATGTACAGCCACCTGATTGGTTGAAAAAATGTCGTGTCGTGTTCTCATAGGTCGACGCATAACGGACCGACGCTGCGACGTATCTTATCGGCTGGTGGCGTCACTGTAACGGTTCCTTCACTTAATGATAGGAAGTTTCAAGGTCTGGGAGGGGGTGAGGGGGGAGGGGTGATGGAGAGAGGGAGGGAGGTGGCGAGGGAGAGGAGGTGGTGAGAGAGAGCGATTAGGTGGTGACGGAGAGGTAGGAGGTGAGGGTGAGGTAGGTGAGGAGACAGGTTGGAGGTGAGGGAGAGAGGTAGGAGGTGAGAAGGGTGAGGGAGAGAGGTAGGAGGTGAGGGAGAGAGGTAGGAGGTGAGAGGGGTGAGGGAGAGAGGTAGGAGGTGAGGAGGGTGAGGGAGAGAGGCAGGTGGTAGGGTAGTCAAGGCGCCACTCAGGTAAGCGTAGTCTTATCACCACCAAGATAAAGTTATCTCACCTGTGTGTGCTCTCGACTGCTTCTACCACAACTACACCACAACTACCACCATTCTACCACAACTACCACCATTCTACTACAACTACCACTATTCTACCACACTACACCACAAGCACCCTACCTCTACCACACAACACCACACTACCGCTACACCACACTACTACTACACCACATAACTACACCACCACACTACCATATCACTCCAGTACCACACCACCACAGTACCACACCACCACAGTACCACACCACCACAGTACCACACCACCACACTACCACACCACCACACTACCACACCACCACACCAACACACACCACCACACACCACCACACCACCACACACCACCACACACCACCACACCACCAACACCACCACACCACCACACCAAACACCACACCACCACACATACCACCACGCACCACACCACCACACCACCACACCACCACACCACCACACCACCACACCACCACACCACCACACTACCACACCACCACACCACCACACCACCACGACCACACCCCACCACACCACCACACCACACCACCACACCACACACCACCACACCACCACACCACCACACCACCATACCACTACGGACCCACACCACCACACCACCAACACCACCACACACCACCACACCACCACACTACCACACCACCACACACCACCACACACCAACCACCACCACACCACACACCACCATACCACCACAGTACCACACCACCACACCACCACACCACCATACCACCACAGCACCACACCACCACCAACACACCCATACCACTACAGTACCACACCACCACACCACCACACTACCATACCACTACAGTACCATACCCCACACTACCACACCACCACACTACCACACCACCACACACCACACACCACACCACCATACCACTACAGTACCACATCACCACACTACCACACCACCACACCACCACACCACATACCACTACAGTACATACCACCACACTACCCACACCACCACACCACCACACCACCACACCACCATACCACTACAGTACCACCACCACCACACCACCACACTACCATACCACACAGTACCACCACCACACTACCACAACCACCACTGCACCACACCCACACCACCACACACCACCACACCACCACACCACCACACCACACATACCACCACGTACCACACCACCACACCACCACACCACCACACTACACACACCACCACACTACCACACACCACACACCAGCACACCACCACACTACCATACCACCACCAGCACCACACCACCACACCACCACACCACCATACCACACAGCACCACACACCACCACACCACCACACCACAACACACTACCACACCACCACACCAGCACACTACCACACCACCATACCACTACACACCACATCACCACAGTACCACACCACCACACCCCACCACACACACCACCACACCACCACACTACCACACCAGCACACCACCACACTCACACACCAGCACACCACCACACACCATACCACTACACACCACACCACCACACTACCACACCATCACACTACCACACCACCACACAACCATACCACTACAGTACCATACCACCACACTACCATACCACAACAGTACCACACCACCACAGTACCACACCATCACACTACCATACCACTACAGTACCACACACCACACCACCACACTACCACACCACCACACTACCACACCACCACACTACCACACCACCACACTACCATACCACAACACATACCCACACCACCACACTCACCACACCACCACATTACCACACCACCACACTACCACACCACCACACTATCACACCACCAACATGGCATAACGTTCTGTTGAAAATGTGTTATATGAAGGTATAACACACAGGAATAACACAGATATAACACATACACAGGTATAATTATCTACCATGTCTTCTAGAACAATCCCAGCCCCGTATATACCTGAAAACATGACGTCACAGAACACTCGACCAATGACAGATCAGCACGTACCATTGAATAACCAAAAACCACCACAATGAACAACAATCTCCTGAATGGCGTCTAAAAGCTTAATTCAATGAGGACCAAGAAGGTATGCTATCAGCCAATCACATGAATAATTGTCATGGAGGTGAATATATAACGGCTGAGTAAATATCCGTCATAATCTGTGAGGAGTCAGTCGTCGTCGTGTAGTCATCAAGAAAGGTGGACGTGCTCAGACTTTCCTTGAGGTACTGTTGTGTATGGTTAAAGGATGATAGTGCATGGTTGTATGACAGATAGTGTATGGTTGTATGACAGGTAGTAAAGTGGTTGTATGACAGGATAGTGTAAGGAGTTGTATGATGATAGTGTATGGTTGTATGACAGGTAGTGTGAGAAGAAGGACAGGTAGTGCATAGTTGTATGACAGTTAATTCAAGAACATAAAACTACAGATATTTCTTTATATTCTGACCACTAACCCTCCCGTCCCCCCCCAAGAGGTCGCAAGAGAGCCTGGAGGTCAACGCCAGAAGTCAAATTAAGATGGTCTGGAGGTCAACGCCAGGGGTCAATTAAGATGGTCTGGAGGTCAACGCCAGGGGTCACCAAGATGGTCTGGAGGTCAACGCCAGAGGTCAAATTATCTAGGTCCCTAACATGTCCTCGAGGTAAGGCATCGTCTCAATAATAATAATAATAATAATAATAATAAAAATAGTTGGGTGACAGTGATGGATATGACATAAGAAATAATAAGTAAGGAGAATAGAGAAATAGAGGATAGAAAGAGTAATGAATTGATAAATGGATAGAGAAAGTGAGAGAGGGATTAGCAGAGAGAGAGAGAGAAAGCACTAGAATGAGAGAAAGAGAGTTTGAGAGAGAGGGGGAGCTAAGGAAATAGAAGGAGGGAGAGAGAAAGAAAGAGGTTGATAACTATAACGAAGGAAAAATAAATCCAATGTGTGTTTACACTCACTTGTTGTCGGGTAAAAAATGTAAACATTACCTCGTGTTCTACAGCTGATGTGTATCTGACCATCACCTGATGTTGGACTCTGTGGTGATGAAGTGCTCATTCTTCACGGTGATGGGAGGACGTGGCTTCATTCTTCAGTGGTGGGACACGTGGCTATCTCGGTGGTGGAGGGAAGTGGCTTCATTCTTCACGGTGATGGGAGGACGTGGCTTCATTCTTCACGGTGATGGGAGGACTTGACTTCATTCTTCACTGTGGTGGGATGACGTGGCTTCATTCTTCACTGTGGTGGGATGACGTGGCTTCATTCTTCGTGGTGGTGGAAGGACGTAGCTTCATTCTTCGTGGTGGTGGAAGGAAGTGGCTTCATTCTTCGTGGTGGTGGAAGGACGTAGCTTCATTCTTCATGATGATAGATAGAAATGAGTAGATGGCTTCAGTAGTTTACTATATCACAAAATGTACAGTATCTCCAGCACACACACACACACCTGGTACTACTACTCACACCTATACACTCACCCAGGTGTAAGTGTACTCACCTACACCTGCAGGTACTGTACAACACTCAGGTGAGCTCAGCGTCCAAAGCCTGGTTCACCATTCCTCTCCCAATGATATGCACATGAATGAGAGTTCGAATACCACTTAATGTCGCCTCTTTATTTTATCCCTTACGCCTGTCTCTATCTCTGTGTTTAAAGTCGATAACACAGACATATATGTACCTTCTTCAAACACAGTGAGCAAAATGGTTAGGTTAGTTTTCTCTAACAGGGTGACAGCCGATTTTTTGATATATAATGAGTCAATTTTATGGCGCAGCTGACTACTCTAGCACCTGGTTTAATATTTTACCCCAATGTCATTATCTGCGCCATTCTCCTCGTTATACTTTCATATATTTTCTTTTATTTATATAATACCTAATGTGTTAAGAATGTCATGTATCGAATATTTTAATATACTTTTATATTTCTTTCGTGTTGATTTTTTCTGAAAATTTTTATTGCTTTGTACTTTCCAAACAGACATACCTATACGGAATGTCTGTTTGTCTTTATAATGTCTAAAAAAAGTAAAATTTTTAAAACATGTCCATTTTATATTTACAAAATATTAATATATCCTCAAAACTATAAGAATTTTTTTAATGTTGACTTGGACCATAATATATAATGAAGACTCGACCATAATATATAATGAAGACTCGACCATAATATATAATGAAGACTCGACTATAATATATAATGAAGACTCGACCATATTGTTTTTTGGGCTATATTATTATTATTTAGTATGTAAATTATGATGAAATAATCAGTTTTATATTATAATATTTATATCATCTTAAAGTTCGTCTGTTTACAACAATTAGAATACAACTATACCGAGTTATACATCATTATTTTATATATATCTTCAGCAATAAACAGATATATATTATTTATACTATTATTATACTCATTGTCTCTCGCTACCAGTTCTGTTATTCGCATTGTTATTAATTTGTCTGTTATAAAGTGTTATTATCACAAGCTGCTGGGTGTTGTTACAACTTATTGAGGGTTGTAATAATGCATCAATAAAGCTGAACTTTTATTATTATTTTATTAATTTGTATTATTTTATTTTATTACTACACATCTAACGAACAATAAAAATAGTCACAGAAACCTTATTTAATCGTGTAGTAAATCTGCTTATAAGATCCGCGATAAGATACTCACAGGCACTCAAGTGAGTTATGGGGACCACTTAACACTGGTCAGGT